CATTTTTAGCGTTAGTGGTTTGTGCATAAATTTGAATAATAGTTACATTAACTTGTCTTCCTTATAGGTGTATGGATATTATCACTGACAGCACTGTACTTCAGGATAGATCTTGAAATGTATTTTCGACAATGAAGGAATGCCATTCTTCTTCAATTTTTCATTCCCAGAGTAGTAGACTGTATGATTATCTGATTCAAAATGGCCAATACCAGTCCATTTTAGCTCACTAATGCCTAAAACATTGATCTCCAAGCATTCTATTTTTGAAAACTTCGAATTTTCCTAGATTCATACTTCATACATTCAACACTCTGATTATTAATCGAAGCTTGCAGGTATTTCTTCTCATTTTGAGTCCTGCCACATCAGTAAATTAAAGTCTGGAAAGCTTGATTCCATCCAAGATATTAAGGTTGCCTCTACTTTGAGGAGGCAGCTCTTCCCCGGTAATATTTTGAGTGCCTTCCAACCTGAACAGCTCATCTTCTGGCACTATATCAGACAATGTCCCACTTCCATTCAGAAGGTTTTTGCTGGGCATTTTTTTTAGAAGTAGGTTGCCAGGTCCTTCTTCCTAGTTTGTCTTAGTCAACAATCTCTCTAAAACCTGTACACCATGGGTGACCCTGCTGGTATTTAAAATATCAGTGGCATAGCTTCCAGCAACCTGCAAACCACCACAGTGCAACAAACTGACAGACGAGTGGTGGGTGATTTCTATATCACTCTTCAAACAGCTTAAATTTTACTTATATGTATACATATATATATAAATATGTTATAGCTATATAAATCCAAATGAATATTTAGTTTAATCCTCTCATTATATGAGAGGTCAGTTAACAGAAATTTAGAGACAAGCTCAATTTATACATCAAATTATCAGCATTTGACAGACTGGTATTGGGTTTACCTGATTTACAGGCCTTTATCCGTTTACTTAATCTAATGCTTAGAGTCAGTTTGCAAGGGTACAAATATTGACCCCACTGTTAGCTAATTGTTTAAATTTAGGAAGTTTAACAGTTTTGAGACTCAGTACCATGACCATTGTAGTCCCTGGGTTGTGCAAAACGGTTAAGTACTGGTTGCCAACTGAAAGTTTGGAGATTCCAGTTCACCCACAGGTGCCTCGGAAGAAAAGTCTGGTGATCTACTTCCAAAAAATCCTCCACTGAAAATAAAAATTCATAGCTCTTTATCGAGTACCGTTCTACTCTGACACATACGGTATTGACTTGACAGCAACTGCTGGATCATGATCTTTAACATGGAGATATTATTAATATATATTTCAAAATGCTACTCTGAAGAAGGAAGAAAGAAAATTTAGTATCCTTCCTGTCCTAGTCGATCATGCCCATAGACTGTATGATGATTAAAGATCAGTTGCCCCTGCACCAGGTTGAGTCCAATATATGAGCCCTGATTGTAGGCACTCAGTAAATTTGTGCTGAGTTAAATGGTGAACGAATTATTAGAAAAACAGAAGTGTGGTAATGTGCATGACACAAAGCTTTTTAATTGTAAAATAGTGTATAAATTAGCAGTATTTAAGTACAATTAGATGTTTACACGAATCCAGGGTTCCTCTACAGGCCAGGCAGTAAGATTCTTGTGTTAGTGATTCTCAAACTTGTGCATTACTCAGAACCACCTGGAGTGATTAATAAAGCACAGGTTGTGGATTCCATCGCCAGAGTTTCTTGTAAGCGCTAAGCTGCTAACTGTAAGTTTGGTGGTTTGAACCCACTGAGCGGCTCTGCAGGAGAAAGGCCTGGCAATCTGCTCCTGTAAAGATTACATCCTAAGAAACTCAATGAGGCAGTTCTACTCTATCATATGGAGTTGCTATGAGTCAAAAATTGATTTGACTGCACCCAACAGCAACAACAAGTTCTGAGGGTACTCAATAATTTGCATATCTTACAAGGTTGCAGGTGATTTTGTTTCTGCTGGTCCAGAGATCACACTTGTAGAACCACAGTTCTAATAACAACAAAACTTAAAGTACATTTTATGTAGCAACAAGTCAAATAATTTTTATGTAAAACAAATTTTATATCTACAGTATTAAATTATCATGCCATGTACAGCTCTGCTCTCATTGAAATATGGAAACAAATATACATCAACAGATGCATGAAGGAGGTAACATTTCAGCTACAGTTTAAAAGCCTACAAGGATTTAGAAAACCTGGGGATTTTTTGGTTGTTTCTTTGTGGTTGCTGCTGCTACTTTCCTTGCTGTGGTACTGACATATATTAAAGACTGGAAAATGAACTAAATATTTTATTCCTATTATTTTTGATTTATTCCCATTGAGAACTTTTTTAATGAATTTATTGGTTAGTTAGCGTATTTGGAATTGCAAATAAAACACTCATTGAACTTAAGTTTGTCAGTAGTAGATTTTGCTTTGTTTAGTGTACCTGTACTCCTGCTAACTGTTCTTTAGTTCTATTTTGTAATTTTTAAGAGAACACTGAGGAGGGAAAGTACTACTGGGCTGGCAATATTTATTTATTTACTTAATTATTTATTTATTTATACATGGATTATAGCTATTTTAGAGTAGCCCTGGTGACTTAGTGGTTAAGTGCTCAGCTGCTAACCCAAACGTTGGCTGTTCGAACCCACAATTTGCTCCATAGGACAAAGATATGGCAGTCTGCTTTCATAAAGATTACAGTCTTGGAAACCCTATGGGGCAGTTTTACACCGTCCTACAGAGTCGCTATGAGTCAGAATAGACTCTATGACAATGAGTAGATGACTGTTGGAATGTGTTTACTTTGTGATACTTCATAAGAAGATTTAAAAAAAAAAGCTTTTTTTAATTGAATAATCGAAAATCCAAATAAAACATTCATTTCATTTATGTTTTCCAGTTATCAGTCTTTGAGGTCATGTCTAGCTCATCTCTTCAAATTAATTGCTACAAGAACAGATTTTCCTTTTTTATTATTGTATTGAAACAAACTAATTAAGATAATGCAGCTCTAAGAGTTTGTTTTCAAAAAAAAGTTCTATTTTACCCCACATTAGTTTATTGAAGAAGATAAAAGATGCTATAGGTTTGATGGCTAATTTTCTTGAAGTCAGACATACTTTGTCAATGGAGAACTTGAATAAATGTATTTCATTTCTAATAATCATTAGATTTTACAATGATATATAAATATTTTAACTTCACTCTGTTGTGGTCAGAGAAAATACTTTGTATGATTGCAATCTTTTTAATTTTGTTAAGACTTGCTTTGTTCTCTGCAATATTGATAGTAGTGTACTGAAGTCTTCAACTATTACTGTAGTACTATTTCTCCCCTCATTTCTATCAATGTTTGCTTTATATATTTAGGTGCCTGAATAGTGGGTACATATATATTTATGATTAATTGACCCTTTTATTACTACAGAATGTTTATTTTTAACTCTTCTGACAAATTTTGTCTTAAAGTCTACTTTGTATAATATTAAGCTTGCCACCCCAGCTCTCTTTTGATTATTATTTGCATGGAATATTTTTTCCCTCCTTTCACTTTCAACCTATTTGTGCCCTTGGGTTTAAAGTGTGTCTCTTGTAAACAGCATATAGTTGGATCATTTTTTTTTTTTTAATTCATTCTGACACTCTTTACTGTAATTACTGATAAGAAATGACTTACTTCTGCCATTTTGTTGTTTTTGTGTGTCTTAAGCCTTTATATCTTTGTCGTTTAGTCCTGCTTGTGTTTGTGTTTTGTTGGTTTATTGTAGTGAGCCTTTTTGGCCCCATTCTCCTCATCCCTGAAATCCTGGCTGCCTTGAGTGTCTAGAATTCCAATGTTCATCCTCCTTGCAAAATCCATGTTACTGCTAGAAGTTCTCTCATCCTATGCTACTTATAATTAGTAACTTAAGAGAGAACGAAAAGATGGCATAGAATTTTTAGTTGACCTTAATGAGTTTACCTTTTCTTGAAGGATATTATTCTTCAAGTGCTTACTGCCGTGGCTATTAATGATTTAATATAGTTATTTTGGTATTATATGTAATATTTTTTGTGTCTTGGTGAGCTATTTAGTTTGCTATAAAGTATTACACTGTAATAAAATTAGAATGTTCAATATTAATTTCTAAGATGGTTATTACCGAATAAAATATTTCATTATTATTTTTATGTATCTAACTCACTTTATTTTTTAAATGTTTTAAAATTTCTCATCAGAACACTTGATTACATCTCCCAGGCCTATTTTGCACTTAATTATATTATATTGGTGGTTTTAACTTCTTCTTTATAAAGTATGGTATTTAAAAAAAAAAAAAAACTTAATGGAGAAACAGCCTATGATATTGATGGAGGCAGTAACCAACTTTAAGTTCATGGACTTTTTAAAATCTCAAAGTTTCTTACATGTATTGATTACTGTTTAAAATATTTATAAATACTGAACTAATACATTGTATGTACTTTTTGGTTTAACTGATTCAGTGCTGAATATAAAACAACAATTTTCTTTGAAATTTAATTGTCAAATCTTTTCAACAAACCATATTTCCTTATTTTTTATAATAAAAGCACCTATTTCTGTAAAGCAACATTTAGTAAAACATCCCAAGAATCATAATTATTTACAATGATATAATTAACAACTTCAATATTAGGGGAAAAACTAATATTTTATTAGCAATTACTTTTAGAATAAATATGTTAATATATTACTATTTTGGTGACTTTTTCAAACTTAGTAGCTTACTACAGCCTAAGAAATACAGACAACATATGTTTTAATTTTTTGTTAAGCTAAGAAATAAAGAGATAATTTTCGATTCCTTTATTGCTTCGTAGAATATAATCATTTGATCTGAAATACGTTTTTCTGAACTGTATTAAAAACGATAAAACAAGGACAGCAGCATTGATTTTCGCTATGAAATTCTCAAAGTCTGTATCTAGGTCTGCACAATCGGTGGCACGTTATGAACACCGTCTTTCTTTTGTGGTTCACAGATTGTCAGCAAACTGTCACTCTCTGACACCTCAAAGTGATATGGACTCCAGTAGCTCTGAAGAATTCTATCAGGCAGTTCACCATGCAGAGCAAACTTTCAGAAAGATGGAAAGTTACTTGAAGCAACAGCAACTCTGTGATGTTATCCTGATTGTTGGGAACCGAAAGATACCTGCACATCGGTACAGTAGTATTTATTTATTGAGCGTATGTAGTCCTGTGTTTAGAAGCGATGGACTGGTATGTAGATTGCAGAATATTCTATATGATTGCAGAATTGAGAATCCATATTTCTAAGGGATGTTAGTTCTTCTTTTTTTTTTCCTTTTTTTTTAAATCTTTTTTTTTTTCTTTTTTGAGAGGATAACTCCTATTTACAAAAACTAAACCAAAACTGTTGCCATGGAGTTGATTCCAACTCATAGTGACCCTCTGGGACAGAGCAGAACTGCCCCATAGAGTTTCCAAGGAGGGCCTGTTGGGTTCAAACTGCTGACCTTTTGGTTAGCAGCCATAGCACTTAACCACTACACCACCAGGGTTTCCAGCTCCTATTTATAACTACTATAATTGCTATTTTAAGTAGCTGATTTTATTGAACAAATAAAGCAAGTGTAAATGATTTAAAAAAATTACCTTCTTATAACTAGAGATGATAACTATGGAGAAAAGTACTCATTTGTGTCTGACTCACATTTATACTGAGTGGAAATCAATTACAATTTAGGTGGATGTATAGTTTCCTAAGATCTGAAATGAGACATGCTTTTCAGTCAATTTTTAAAGAAAATCAGGTTATATTGAAGACATATTATTTGTTTCAACTAGGAAGTTCAAGGTGCTTCATAGATGCATCTTTATTTTGCTCTTATTGAAAATTACTTAATTTATGATAGTGTAATTCCTAAGGCTCAATATATTTGAAAGCTAACACACTACTACCTTACTTATAAAAACTCATTAGATTTGCTGTTGGTTTTATACTTCATTTTTCTAATTTTTCCTTGAAATTTTAAGTGAGAAAAGCATTGTTATTTAATTTAATTTAGATACTTATTATTTTAAAAAGTTGAGTACATGTGCAATCAGCCTTAGACTATCTTGAAGTATGTCACATTTAATACTATTAATACTAAGGATTTAGTAAGAAGGATAAATTATCCAAGTGTACAAAAATATTTTCAATGTTTTCCCTATCCTGTATTTTTAAATTGAAATGATATTATCTGGATAATATATGTTCACCTACTCGTGGACTATTAAAAATATGGCTATATTACTACCATGATAGCAAGATTAATATGTGAGCATTGAATCAAAGGTTACATTGTGAACATTAAGATGTGCATATTGAATTTCTGATACTGGAAAATGTATAAGAAGGAAAAAAATGACACTGAATAATTAATCATGATAATTTAGAATTTCGATCTGCCGGCTAGCTATGGCACAAACTCTAATAATGTACTATTCAAATTTATTTTTCAAATATTACTATGAAATTTCATTATCATAGGTTAAGAGAGCAATTAACACAAATAGTCATTATTATTGAAAGAAATATTCAATATTGTAATATGTCTAGCAAAAATGACTTATTCCCTCTTTTTATTGGTACCCCTGTGATTAAGCTACTAATTAAAAAGTTGGCAGTGCAAATCCACCAGTCATTCCTTGAAAACCATATGGGAAAGTTTTATTCTGTCCTATAGGGTTGCTATGAGTTGGAATTGACTCAGTGGCAACGGGTTTTAGCATTCTTTAGTTTCAAAAGCAATTATAGCTTAAATTAATAATAGAAAATACTGTTAAGAGTAGTACTTCTATGACTATTTATAATTCTTGATTTTAGTAATTACACAGATAAAGATTTACTCATTCTTAACCTTTTCTTAGAATTTTGAATGTATATAATTCATCTGAGTGATTCTTAAAAATAATGTACTTAATTTCTATTGCTGTCAAAAAGCAACCTTGAAATTTAGTTACTACTTTAACAAAATTTGTGACTTTAGATTTTTATTTTCTTTTGTTCTTAAGTTTTCCATACTTTTCAGTAATTAATCTATGCTAAGATTCTATGTAAAAACAATCTTACTTCACTTTCTTGGACAAGTTCAAAATTAGTTAATGAGTTATGGAAAATTAAAAGCATAATAGCACAATTAATATTACTAAATATAGATATTTTTCTTTTTTAAAAACTCAAACAAAGTAGGCAATAACTAATCTTTTCTTTATTTTTAATTAAGAAATAGAAATTCAGTTACATTTTTCAGAGTAAGAGATAGTATTCTTAATTTGAGAATCTAACTAAAGAAATTTACTGTATTAAGCTTATAAATTAGTTAAGAAATCTTATACATATTTGTTAAAAGACAGACGGACTCAATCGACTAAAAATATATTAACACTTAAGGTGCTCATTATTTTTTTAATGAGAGACATGTTTCATTTAATTTACATCATTTTACTTTATAACCTTTTATTAGTATTAATTTAACATTTCTCTTTCTCATTTGAAGCATTTTTAAACTAACATATTGAGCAATTCCTTATACTTATAGTATCCCACATTATTTTTTCTTATTACTCTTTATTCTAGGTTCTTAATGTTATTGCATAAATAATTATGCAAGTAGCTTTATAATAATTTTAGAGACTAAGAAAAAAAATCACTTCTCTAGAAAATCCTAGCAATTTATTACTTATATATGAATTTGCATGAATATTAAATATTTGCTCTTGAACATCGAGTAGAGAAAGCGAATGGAAGAAATGATGAAGTAAAAGAGCTGAACAGGAGATTTCAAAGGGCAGTTCAAGAAGACAAAGTAAAATATTATAATGACATGTGCAAAGACCTGGAGATAGAAAACCAAAAAGGAAGAATACTATTGGCATTTCTCGTACTGAAAGAACTGAAGAAAAAATTAAAGCTTCATGTTGCGATATTAAATGATTCAATAGGGAAATACTAAACGATGAAGAAAGCATTAAAAGAAGATGAAAGGAATACACAGAACATTTAATTGTGCTCATGATGAACCTGTACATAGATCAAGAGGCAGTTGTTCGAACAGAGCAAGGTGATACTGTGTAGTTAAAGTCAGGACAAGTGTGCATCAAGGTTGTATTCTTTCACCATACTTACTCAGTCTGTATGCTGAGCAAATAATCCAAGAAGCTGGATTATATGAGAAGAAGGGGGTATCAGAATCGGAAGACTCATTAACAACCTGTGTTAGGCAGATGACACAATCTTGCTTGCTGAAAGTGAAGATGACTTGAAGCACTTACTGACGAAGAGCAAAGACTACAGCCTTTGGTATGGACTGCACCTAAATATTAAAGAAAACAAAAATCCTTAACTGGACCAATAAGCAACATTATGATAAACAGAGAAAAGATTGAAGTTGTCAACGATTTCATTTCACTTGAATCCACAATCAACATCCATGAAAGCAAAAGTCAAGAAATCAAAAAATGTATTGCGTTGGGCAAATCTGCTGCAAAGACCTCTTTAAAGTGTTAAAAAGCAAAGGTGTCACCTTGAAGACTAAGTCATGGTGTTTTCAATTGCCTCATATGCGTGCAAAAGCTGCATACATGTGAAAATTGGGCAATGAATAAGGAAGACTGAAAAGAATTGATTCCTTTGAATTACGGCATTGGTGAAGAATATTGAATATACCATGGACTGCCAAAGGAACAAACAGATCTATCTTGGAAGAAGTACAATCAGAATGCACCTCAGAAGGAAGGATGTCGAGACTTTGTCTCATATTCTTTGGACATGTTATCAGGAGGGACAAGTCCCTGGAGAACGACATTATGCTTGGTAAAGTAGAGGGTCAGTGAAAAGGAGGAAGATCTTCAATGAGATGGATTGACCCAGTGGCTGCAACAATGGTCTCATGCATAACAACAATTGTGAGGATGGAGCCAGACCAGGCAGTGTTTTATTCTGTTGTACATAGGATAGCTATGAGTTGGAATCGACTTGATGGCACCTAACAATAACAACAACCATGATTAAAAATGCTAACATTTTCTAGTTTACAAGTAATTTAAATCCTTATAATTCTAAGTCAGACAACTATGAACAATGTGAAAAAGATACTCATGAGGTACCAAAAAAAGCCAAATGCTGTGTGGGCAATTACAGATATATTGTACCCTTTGATTTATACTTTAACCCAATGAAACAATTGTAATTAATACATGGATGTTATTAACCCTTTGCTTAAAAAAAAAGACAAAAATCCTAACCAAATTGATGATTTTTAAATTATTCTCATCGTTTTGATTGCAGAGTTAAGTATTGTCTTTGGGCATAAAACATATGGTGATACAATAGTAGCACTGAAAAAATGAGAGAATATTATAATAATCTCAAATAATGAGAAAGGAAACAATTTGGAAAGACATTGCAAGATGGTGACATAAGAACTTAGTACTGAATTGTAAATTCATATTAATTGCCTGGAATCATTCATAACTTTTCAAATATATTGTTACTTAAGTGAATAAAATTTTACCTTTAAAAAAAACTCTATTAAACATTTTATGTAGTGGTTATATTATTTATAGGTTTTTAACCTGACGTAGATTGCAACTATCAATTCATTTATAAATGTCACGTCAATTTAGACAAGTTTACTTATAGCAAGATACATTTTTTAGTAAGCAAGGACTGAAAGGCCAATAAAATGTAAAATGATACATTAATATATTTTTGCACAAAAAATAATCGAAATTCTGAATACATCTCTACTACAGACCCTCAGGGAGCCCTGGTGGCAAAATGGTTAAGAGCTCGGCTGCTAAACAAAAGGTCGGTAGTTCGAATCCACCAGCTGTTTCTTGGAAACCTTGTAGGAACAGTTCTGCTCTGTCCTATAGGGTTGCTATGAGTCCTAATCAACTTGATGCCAATGGGTTTTGTCTTTTTGTTTTCTTTTTTTTTTTACAGCCCCTCAGAGAAATCCTAAAATAATCTTCTCACAAATAGTTCAGAGTTATTGATAAGCAACAAGTGAACCAAAACATTTACATGTAAATTCCTGAATACTAAACATAGAGGATTACTTGACAGAAAGGCTGCTCTTAATTAGGAGTGTCAGATGCTGCAAATTAGACTGATGAAATCAGTAATTAATATATGGGAGCTGAATTTTCA